CACACGCACCCAAAAACCCTCCCAAACCGCCAAAAAACACACCACAAGCCTCACCGAACGTCTCATTGCTACCGTGATCTCGCCCACAGGAAGCCGTGACCGCGTGGCAGCAGGGAAAATGGCCGCGGATCCGGCTCGTAACCTGTGGCGGAGTTCGCAAACCACGGTAAATTTTTGCGGCCGGAGCTGGTCGTAACCCGAAAAGTTCGTTAACAGAGGCGTTTGTAACCCGAGGTACCACTGTATCTTGGCAAGAACCAGACCCATGTAATACACATGTGAAAGCGCCAGCATGTTGCTAATTACTTCTTGCATTTATAAGTAACATGCACTCACAAACAAATCCCTGGACTTTTCAGCGTGGGAAAGCCAGCAGTAAATCTCCAGCTTTTTAGACAGTATTACAATGAATAAGCATTTATTCTTTATTTAAAACAGGGCTCCCCAAACTCTTCAGCTCATCAACCCCTTCATGAAGTTTCAGATTGTTCACTGACCCCCAAACATTTATTATACGAAAATAATTTAATAAATACTACTTTAATTAATAGTACTACAAATAATAACAGCAACAACAAAATGGATAGTTCCATTGACCCTTGGGGGTCAATACTGACCACTTTGGAGAACCCTGATTTAAAACAAGAGCACAATTTTTTTTTCAGGCAGTGGGCTAATATAGTATTTGAGTAATGCACTGTAGGAAACCTCATTTTAAAAAGTGGGATCTGAACACTAAATAAAATAGTTATTTAATTCTCCTTTCTCCCAATTCACTCTAGTGACTTACATTAAACTGATCTCACTTTAAAATTACTTTTATAATAACCAGCGTTGAAATTAACTGATTCATTGCTACACTCTGTCTACACTCTGTCTTACACAAAAATTATGTGGGAAGTAAATTCAATTAATTTAATGGCCCTACTATTCCACCCTAGTCCATCTTCAAGTTAAATTGATTTCTTACGAAACAAAATGGAAAAAAAAAAATCACTGAGTGATCTGACATTAAATCACAGATGGTCTCCTGTGGATACTCTAGAATCCAACCTCAGGAGAAATGAAAAGCAGGAAATGGGGGCAGAGGGGGAAAGAGCGGCTGCAACAGAAAGCAAAAGACATGGGGCAAGAGAGGGTCAGGGGCTCTTCTCTGTGGCAGAAAATGATAGGAACTGGCATCATGCTCAGTGGCAATGTGGGTGGTTTCTGCTGCTGCCTGCGGCAAGAGAAAAAGCGATGGTCCAAATTACTACAGAGACTTGCAGCAAAACAAGGCAGAGAGGATTCTCATCTAAAATGTCAATGATGTATGTGAATCATGGAGTACGCACCCCTCCTTCAGAACAACAGACAATAAAAAACAAAGCTGAAAAACGATGCAAAGTGTCCTCTAGCTTTCTTGCTCTCTCGATCACTTTACCAGCAGCAGCCAGAGGTAGTGTCTGTTCCTGTGTAACAAAGTAACACGCGACATAGATATATGCTGGTGTGTTTCTGATCTCTCCTGTTACAACTGTGTGCAGATGTGCCCTCAGAAACATAAGGTGAACTACATACTCCCTGCTCTGGATCATATCACGGGAGGGGGAAGTTACCAATATTCTGAGCAGCTGCCCATCTGCCTCTCACCTAGGAGTGTGTTGGGGGAACTCTTTTGGAACGTTTTTCTCTGCAGCCCTTTGCCAGGTTGATTCCGTTTTCAAACCCAATATTCCTTTTGCTGATTTCTCCAGCTGTAACAGTTTCCTCTAAATTTAAACATCAACTCACCCACTTGCTTGGCCTCAACCGCTGCCGTGTATTCTCGGCTAAAGCTCAGCTCTGTGATGGCTACATCATCTAGTATAAGGCTAAAATCCTTTGCTCGCTCTGTCAGTTCCCGTCGGATAAGCAAAGATACCTGAAAAAATAAACCCACAGTTCTTGCTCAGCATCTCAGTGCTGCAGATAAGCGATTTTCCTTTTCCGGAAAAGTTCACAAACTCATAAGAGTCACAGAATCATGGAGCTAAAGGGGGCCATTTAAGTCCCTGCACCTACCCCCTTGCTGGGTGCAAGAATCCATTAGAACATAACTGACAAATAGCTACCCAAACTCTTGCTCCAACTTTGTCTTCCTGGCCTTCGAAACTGCACTGGCTCTGTCTTCTTTCACTCCCCACCCCCCTTGTTAAGAATGGCAGAAACAAAGCAAGCAAAACATTTACTACTCTAAAACAGACATTTACTACTCTAATAAAACAGGCCTCTAGTTGATTAATATTTTGATTGCTGCAGGTTCTGACAGCAACAGGAGCAACAAGATTGGCCATAATTCTTCTTAAGAACTGGGCTTAACATTCAAGGTGAGATCTGAGTAAAGCAGAATAAAAAACACCCTAAAACTACATTTGCTTTGTTTGCAGCCGCATCACACTACTTGTTCATATTTTTCTTGTAATCAATTACACGCACACCTGCTATCAAGCAAGGTTATTTCCCATTTCATTTCTGGTCCAGAGGAAATTTCCAAAACATTCCATTTGTTCCCTAGACAATTTCTTAATATACGAGTCATCTGCAACCAGCAAATTATTGGGAACTCCTGTGAAAGTAGGATTAAGTGATGAAAGATGGTCTATATCAGAAAAGGACAAACCTGAGCTCTTTGGGTAATGAGCTGTGAGGCATTAAACTTTGCTACCACACTTTTGAGTACTTCATTGACAATGGAAGGAAGAACCCGTTCTTCATAGTCTAGTCCAAGTCGCTGATATAAGCTGGGCAATTCTGCAGCATTGGGCCGTGATAGAACACGCAAGGAGATATTCACCATCTGCAGATCTAGAGTCAAAATCGAGTCAACCACAATCTCTGAAGTGCATTCTATTTTTCTTCTCTAGTCTGATTATATACCAGTTGTACCCTCCCAAATGGGCCAGTAACCCCCTTAATTTATGCTCTGGCCAGAGAACTGTATGCTTTTCTGTGAAATAACAACAGAAGGATGTAAAAGTTTATACGAAGATAGAGTGCAGAACTCAGAATTATGGAAAAACAATCCGTATCTATTCCACAATGCTCAGTTATAGATCTCAATGATTTTGGGACACCACTCTTAGTATAAACTTCACTGCAGCATTGTTATAAAAACAAAAGATGGAGAAATATCTATACACATTATCCTGACTTCTTAGGAGGTAAAAACTCTGTGCATCTCTGTTCTTACCTTTGGATCCTGTTGGTGAGGAAATTTTGCGGGGCCGGGCTCGAATATCGTAAATTACTGGATACTGGAACCAGGGAATTCTGTGGAGATTAGCAATGATTATACTCAATATGAGATGTAAAAAAGAAATAAAAGCCTATCCCTCTCCTTACTTGGATAAAGATTAAATATTATCATATAACTTTCAGCATACTTTTTAGGGCTTACTTTTTAATGAAAAAATATTTCTGTAGCTTTTAGGAATGCTATTTTAACAAAAACAAAAATTATATCACCATGAGGCTTTTCTTTAATAGCTGACAAGAAAGCTTTGAGGAGAATTTAAAAAAAAATCTTGCCACACTGAAATAATGTCAAATTAAATTTGGGGGAAAATAGGATCTCTTTGGAAACTTTGGTGTGAGGATATTACCTTGAGATTATCTGGTAGATTCTAAACCTTTTTCTACTACACAGTCTCTAAATGAATACCTGAAATGCAGTCCCTCCGAAAGAATAGTATCCTGCTGAACTCCACCAATGCGGTTGAAGAATATTGCTCTTTGACCACCTTCCACTGTGGAAATCAAAAGCGTTCTGCTGTTATCACCAATAGTTGAACAAAACAGATTGAAGAATTAGAAAAATAGAAGCTACCTACCTGTAAAGACAGATTCACGGATACCATAGGCTGCAGCACCAGCACCCAGCAGCAACTTTAAAGCGGTGCTCATCCCACGTGGGCCAGTAGGCAGGCGGCCAGCAAAGTCCTTCAGGCTCTGAGCCATGGCAACCTGGATATGGAAACAGGTCCCCAAACCAATAAATCAATATATCAATAAATAAACTGTACAATTCTGCAAATTTTCTTACTGAAATTGTGATAAAGCTTGGAGGGAGAGGGGAACTGTGCATGAAGCATTTTATGTATGCAATTATCTCCGGGTGAGGAATTCTGTGCTACTGAGAACTACACCAACAGGAGTGCCGAGGCTTGCTAAGCCCTGATCAAAATATGATGAATGTACTTCCCATATACACTTTTTAAACGGGATGTTATTGTGAAGTAGCCATTCTTTACTGCTGAGACACCAAGAGCGAAAGATGAATTCTTATTAAGGAACATCACCCCGCTCAGAAGTGCGATATTACACCACGCGCATGGGGTAAGACACGAACTCAGTCCCACTACTTGTTCCGCACGGTTGCTGAATCATTAATAACATTCTCCTATTCCGCGCCCTCCCTCAACGGGCTCATTAAAGCATGGAATCAATCAGCCGCTCCCTTCCCCAACTTGCCCATCGCCCCTTCACTAAGGAGAATTCACCCTCGGAGAAGCAGGCGGAGGCTCTAAAACGCTTCAGCTCCTCAGCAGAAACATAAACCCTCACAGCAACCACCTCCGGGGATAACCGCCGCTCTCCCTCGTTCTCCAGCCACGCCGCCGCGCCAGAGAGAAGGACACAGGAAACGGCGGGCTCTGGGTAACGCTTCCGGGTCAGGAGGCGGGCGCCTCGGAAGGACTTTTCCCCCTTGCGGAAGCGCGGCGTTCGAGCGCCGCAAGGCGGGTAATGGTTCCTGAGCTCTTGAAGCCTTAGCGGTGCTTCGTGATTTGCGGCTCGGCCCATCTGGAAATGCAAGGCGTGTCTGCACGAACGAGGCGGGGGTATGTTTCCATCCGCGGCTCAAATGCCTTGAAGCGAAAGCACAATTTAGGAACAGGAAGTGGCTGACCCTGGAAGAGGAAACCGCTGCCCCCGTGAGAGAAAACCGCGAGCTCGCCGTTTTTAAGATGGCGGCGGCCCCCACGAGGAAGCGTCCCCATGCGGAGGGAGACTCTGCTGACGGAGGGAGCTTTGATGCCCGCCGCGCCGGGAAGAGGCGACTGGTGGTGATCCTGGAGGGGGCGTCGCTGGAGAGCGTGAAGGTGCAGGAAGGCGCCGCCGGGCAGCCGGAGAGAGCATTCGGCAAACTTTAAGCCTTGGAGAGCACGGAGGAGGGTCCGGGAGACCTTGCGGGAGGAGAAGCGGATTTCACTTCCCTTCCCAAACAGCCGCCAAAGTCAAAAGCTGCTTCGGGGTGGGTGGGGGTGGCCCTTCCACTTCTCTCTGAAATATATTGTATTTAACCTGCGTGCGGAACAAAGATAATGATCCTCGCTTCTGGCGGCAGAATGTCTCGGTCAGCCTTTCCCAACCTGGTTATATCCAGGTGTGGGGTGACAGCAACCACCAGAATCCTCACCCTGGACGAGAATTTTGGAAATTGTAATCCCAACATATTTGGACGGCTTTAAAAAAAAACCGTCGGGAAGAAGAACCGAGGGAGGAAACGGTTATTGTATGGAGCCCCTGTTATCAGAGAGAATATATTTAACATGGGTGTCTTCAGGGCCATAATTTAGTTTGGGATGCAGAGAGGTCTTAGCTGGTTCCTGAAAATATGATAGATTAAGATCACTGCTACTCTAAGAGAAATTCTGTTGAAAAATAAAATTGTCATTTCCCCCCACAAACTCAACTTATGGAGTTTAGTGCTGTAAGATGTGTCATACAGAACATAAATGTTTCTCACTCACGAATCATTACCTTTAGATGGTATAGAATTAGAGTGTTCAGAAGCCATATGGAAGAGTTTATCTAGGAGTATGGGCAGATTTCCCTAATTTGGCACTGTTTTATTGTTTTACGAGTTTTGTAAATTTTTTTACATTAAAATGCACACGTATAAAACAAACAATTCATTCCAGGTTGGGAAAACATATGAATTGCTGAATTGTGACAAGCATAAATCCTTGCTTCTGAGGAATGGCAGAGACCCCGGAGCAGTTCGACCGGACATCACCCACCAGGTATTCTATGCAGATTTAAATCCAGTTTCTGGCCTGCCTTTGTTCCTGAAATATTGACTGGGAAATTGCATTCATAGAAAACCTAGAAACTAATGCTGGCAATTCTGTTTTGAATCAAGCCACAAATGATCCTCAACATTTTAATTTTTTTCACAATTCCTAGTTGTGCATATGCTAATACTGTCTTCAGGCACTGCTCTTTCTCAAGTATTCTCTAAAACAGCCTTGAAATATTTTGAGAGACATTACCATAGAATTTATTTTGCTTTTTAAATAGCTTATGTTTTTCATTTTTAATTTAGAGCCTCTTGATGCTGATGGATAGTCCTTTGAACCGAGCTGGCCTTCTCCAGGTATACATCCATACAGAAAAGAATGTTCTTATTGAAGTCAACCCACAGACAAGAATTCCTCGCACTTTTGATCGTTTCTGTGGCCTCATGGGTAAGAAATGCAACTAAGATTCCCCACCCTACCCCAAACTGAGTATGTAACGGTCTGAGCAATGTTTGCCTGTATGTCTCTGTAGACTATTAAACTAGTCTAGTTTGGAATCTCTTACTGATATAGGTGCACATTACATTGCAGAATGTTTATATATGGTGGCCTGAGTAGTTATTATATTTCCAGGTACTGCAACCTGTCCATCATATTAGCGTAACATACTAAAACTATGGGTTTTCCCATACTGTTTCTAGAACTTATTTGCCCTTTTCCTGCGCCTGGAAGTATAAGATATTTTGTATTCAGTAGACAGAAGGGAAGATCTGAAAGGGGAGCAAACATAGAAGTTGAAACTATTATGCTGGGGGCTGAACTATTAAAAAGTTGGTGAAGTTCACTGTAGTTTAAATGTAATTATAATTTAATGAAGTACATGGATATGATTATTCTCCATCTATTTTACAATTCGCCATTTATATCACATTAACAATTACCGTGTGGCACCATTTTTGAAAGGCTCCAAGAACCATATATGGTCCTGAGACTTACAGTCCCGTGCTTTACATTGCAAATGTGAATCCATTCAATCTCCCTCTAAAACAGGGGTAGAGAACCTGGCTTCCTGCATGGTTTTGGATTCCAGCCATCAGTCCGCTGGTCTGGTAGGAAGGCTAGAGATTCATCATGTGAGTTTTAAAATAATTGTACAGGTAGTCCTTGACTTATGACCACAATTGGAACCGGAACTTCCATCACTAAGTGACCCAGTGGTTAAGTGAGTCACGCCCAATTTTATGACCTTTTTTGCCACAGTCCTTAAGCAAATCACCACAGTTAAGCAAATCCAGCTTCCCCCACTGACTTTACTTGTTGGAAGCCCCTCAGGAAGGTTGCAAATGGCGATCAAGTGACCCCAGGACACTGACAGTTATAAGTGTGAGGACTGGTCACAAGTAACGTTTTTCAGTGCCATCATAACTTCAAACGGTTGTTAAACAAATGGTCATTACGTCAAGGATTACCTGTACATTATGCATACCAAATTAAATCAGCTTCCCTTTCCAGGGCTGACAAATGAACATTAGCTTTCCCTGTCAGGCCACATTTAGGTCTTAAATTGTGTACGTCTGTGGAAAAAGAAAAGATTCTGAAAACCACTACTTATATAGGATTGTTGCAAGCAACTAACACTACATGCTTCTGTGTTAACGTTTCTTTCTCTCTCCTTAGTTCAGCTGCTGCATAAGTTTAGTGTCAGAGCTGCTGATGGCCCTCAAAAGCTGTTAAAGGTAATAATTCTACTATGATTCTCTGCAAGATTGTGCTTCTACTACCAGGTTAATCCAGTTTTTCTTTTGCAGGTGATTAAGAATCCAGTGACAGATCACCTTCCTGTGGGCTGCACAAAAATAGGCACCTCTTTCTCAGCCCCTCATGTGACAGACATGCGCGACCTAGTCCCTGCTGCAGATCCTATAGCCATAATTGTGGGAGCTTTTGCCCATGGCTCGGTAAGGAGTGTATGTGTTCTTAGACTGTCTTTCTCTTATTTGCAAGCCAGTTATCTCACCTCCATCTTAATTGCAGTTCAGGCAGCAAGCAGTACTCAAAGGTATTATGTACTCATACAGCTTCCTACAAAATAATGGCCTATGTTATAGAACTGGATTAAGCGTCTTAAGAACACATGCTGTAAACTTGCTATGTTTCTATAAAAAGGGGTAGAAATACTGGTAGGGTAGTGCTAGTAGCCTCCTGCATTGACTTACAACTTAAAGAGGGCAACCTTAATTGTTAGCTGAGATTATGGAGCTGATTTTTTAATATAGCCAGTGGGCACCAAATTAGGGAGAGCTGTAGGCACAGAAATCTGCTTGCATTGTCCATCTAGCTTGCATTGTCTGTTCAGTAATTGATTGGAGTATTAATCACTTAAATATTAAACAATGTGGCACATATATATAATTTAGAAGCTTGACTAGCTGCCATTTTTTTCCTCCAGCTTAATGTTGACTACACAGAAAAGACCATCTCTATCAGCAACTATCCACTCTCTGCTGCTTTGACTTGTGCTAAAATCACCACAGCTTTTGAAGAAATGTGGGGAGTAGTATGAGCCTACTGTTGTGTTCATAGATTCACAGAATATGGTATTTTGGTCTAATAGGGCCCTGTGTATATTGTAAATGTTATGTACTGTATCCCTTATTTATGGGAAATACACCCTTAATTACTTTTTTGTGATAAAGAATCTTTGTATATAGCATAAGTTGCTCTGTGATAGCTGGTGTGGGTCTTCCGGGCTGTGTGGCCGTGGTCTTGAAGTCTTGTTTCCTAACG